AGCGTGACAGACTCCAATTTTGCACGAGTTGTGGGACTTACAGGGTCAAGTCCCGCGACCACAGACTCCCACTTCACGCTGCAATGGCGTGGTGGCTTGCTGCGCGTGGTGCATGTCAAGCATGATGCGAAGCGCAGACTTTATTGCATGCTGCGTCACGTCGCGAAGCGAACCCGAGTCCCAGCAAAAGATGCAATCGCAGAAGCAACATGGCACAGAGTGCCGCAGGCACTTTTAGCCACCTTTTTTGGCATGAGTTTGTCCTCCTTCTGGTCCTTCATGTTGTGCAGATATCAAGGCAGCAAGGCAGCTACATCCTGGATTGCATGCTGATCTGTTCGAGGTAGGCAGCAGGAGTGCATTCACGAAAGTAGCACATCTCTTGGCGTCATTCTCCTGCCATTTTGTTTCGCGTGCTTTCACACGCACTGACTCCGTGCTCATGTCGCACCCGGTATTGCCCATGATCTTTAGCAATTCGCGAGCCTTCGCATGCGATCTGCAAAGCCCAGTCACAGCAGCTCATTTCTGCCCGAACGCCGGTGCTTCCGTCCGTGTTTCACCCCCTCGAGGCAAGCTGTCATAGCACGCACACATCCATTGGACTTCAGAGGGTAGAGGCGTCCTTCCAGCTCTGCTGACTGGGAGTGTACGTAGTGTGGTGGCTGTTGTCAGAGCATGCATTAAGGCTGATGTCACCTTTGGCTAAGAGCACTTTCAGAAGCAAAGAGGTTCAAGCAGACGGGGCTCTCGGATCCAGAGACCTGAACACCAGAAGCCTGCGCTCCGAATGCTCTTGAGGAATTTCGCAACAATGGCGCTCCTTATCATGCAGATGTTCCCTGAGTCGATGTGCTCCCTGGCTCAATTCCGACATTAAAACGATCTTGTCAAATTCTGTCGAGACGGGAGACGTGGAGCCTACTAAGGCCTTTCTGTCCTGCTAAACAGTTATCTCACGCACTGTGGAGTGGTAGTCTCAGCGCCACGTTCCCGTTCCCGCGCGCGTGTGTGTGTGTGTGTGTGCGTGTGTGTGTGTGTGTGTGTGTGTGTGTGTGTGTGTGTGTGTGTGTGTGTGTGTGTGTGTGTGTGTGTGTGTGTGTGTGTGTGTGTGTGTGTGTGTGTGTGTGTGTGTGTGTGTGTGTGTGTGTGGGGGTGGGTGTGTGTGTGTGTGTGTGTGTGTGTGTGTGTGTGTGTGTGTGTGTGTGTGTGTGTGTGTGTGTGTGTGTGTGTGTGTGTGTGTGTGTGTGTGTGTGTGTGTGTGTGTGTGTGTGTGTGTGTGTGTGTGTGTGTGCGTGCTCGTGTCGTATGTTTTCGGGCATGGTTAAACGGGCTGCAACAAAGATGTGCATCCTGAGAGCATTAGCAGAGTCTCACTTTGGCTAAGGCTTGCAGTCCGCCACCTCCACTTCCGTGCACTTTGCAACGACAACCATGACGACGACGTCGCCGACGTCGCCCATGCCTCAGCTCCCTCGTCTGCCTTGTCTGCAACATGTTGTCCTGAGGACGACGTCGGCGACGTGCACGACAGGCACGACAACAACGACGACGACGACGACGTGCACGTAGTGTCGTGCATGCTGCATCGTCAAGCCCGAGCTGAAGATGGAGAAGGTCGTCACGATGGACGTCGTGACGCCCAAATGCGCTCCGGCATCACATAGCACAGGTTGGATACTGCCTTGAATGCAGAGGCTTCACATGAGCCATGTGCACTGAGATGAACCCAGGCTTGCGAAATGGACACTTGGTGGCTCAGCAGAGCGTTGGCAAAAGGCAGCATGCAGGACTTGCCGGACATGCAGGCGCCTTCGAATTAAAAATTCCACTTTCCAACCCGCCTTCGTTGTGCTGCAAGCTTCTCCTCATCCTCGGCATGTGCGGCACAGGTGTGCAACAGTAGGTGCAGAAATTTGGAGTACATGTGCATCTCTCTGTCTCGCTCTGTCTCTCTCTGACTGATTTTCGTGCATTGTTTCTTCACTTTGGAGACAGGTGCAAAACCAGGGTGGCCATCACCCTCCAAGTGTTACCGGGCAGCTCGGCTCAGCAAAAGCTTGTTGAACTTGTGGAGTCAGACGCAGTCTTGTTTAGGTTCTGCTGGTTCGTAAGTTTGTAATCGGGTGGTTCTTCGATGTAGTCTGGGATGCGATTTTGGAGAAGCCCACCCACTAGAAACTCCTCTTCTGACATGGACCTGTAGCCCTTTCCTGAACAGGCAGAGAAAGCCCAAACATTCGACAGGAAGACCGGAGAAACTTTCCGGAGCCTCATAGCCGCACCCCAGGCCACCCTTGAGCCAAAGTTAGAACCTCAGGATCCTTATGGCGAGACTAAGACGAAGGGATCCTTAGAGCCTCTCAGTGCTCGTCCCATGGGGCCCAAAGTTTTGAACGGGACCTCACATTCGCAATAACACGGGCGCCCGTCTGAGCTTTCTTTGTGATGCCAGTGCCGACGCCGGCGCGGGCTTGCACACCTGCCGGAACGAATCGTGGAGCTGCTGCAAGGGTCCGGGCCTCATGGAAGAAGGGACTGGCACGACATATCGGGGCAAGCCACGACTGACAAGCAACAGCACAACAACAGCAACAGCCACAGTGACCGCAACAACGCCACACTGGAGATATCTGGAGATACCAACTTCCATGGTGTACTGTGCTCTCCCAGGCTATCTTACCACTGCACTCCTTGAGTTGCCAAGATGGTCCCCAATGCCCTCATCTTTCGGGAAGAACCGAAAGCCACCCTAACTCCCGGACCAGAAAAACCCAAGGAAACCGAATCCAAGGTGGGACCTCGGGAATGTCAAGGCTGAACCATCGGCCCTCAGCCTTGAAGCCGAATCCCAGCAGTTTTCGATCATCAGCTATTCTCCAAGCGATGTAAGCCAATGTCCTAAATCCTAAACCCTGGCGAGTCAGCACCGAAGCCTCAGCCGGATAGGCATTCCCTACCAACCTGGAGGCGGAAAGGAAAAGAGGCGTCAGAAAAAAAAAAACCTGGCGAGTCTCCTAGCCAGCATGGCATTCCAACTAACCCTACGGGCAGAAGGAAAAGAGGGCTCAAAAAAAACCTGGCACCGGAGTGTAAGCGATGTAAGCCAATGTAAGCGCGACGCCAAGCCTTGGCCGTCAAGCGCGCAGCGATGTTCTGTCCAAGCGCTTGGCAGAGTGGCCGGCACCTGAGATGTTTTGGAATGGATGTTGCTGTCGCGGCTTGGAGAACCTGACTGAAATTTCCCCGTCTTGTTAGCTCACTCATTGCGCGTCGCACGAGCTTTGGCAGCTTCGGATCTATGGTCTGTTCCTAACATGTTTGCATGAAAGATTCAAGCGCCAAAGCCGATGGGCCTTCGTGGGCGGTCGATGCATTCTCTCTGTGCTTCGAAGGACACCTGTCCTTTCCAGCGTTGACGGGTTTACTCTTACATATACATATATATGTATGTATGTATGTATATATATATATATGAGTATATATATGTATATATATTATAATAAATGGTATATATACTATGATATAATATATATATATATATATATATATATATACATATATGTATGTGTATGTATATGTAATTATATGTATGTGTATGTATATGTATATGTATATGTATATGCATATGCATATGCATATGCATATGTATATGTATATGTATATGTATATGCATATGTATATGTACATGTATATGTATATGTATATGTATATGTATATGTATATGTATATAGATAGTTCTCTGTTCCTGCTTGAAGGCAGCGGAAAGAGCTGGAGCAGCTTCTGCTGCGGCAGCGAGGCCTAGCGCAGCAGGGCGACTGTAGTATAGGGGCCTTAATAATTACCTATTCTATTTTGGGGGTTCCTTTTTATAAATATTATATAGTGAGCCCCGAAACCCCAGTCTATTTATTAAGGCCCCTATATTAGCAGCAAAATCCGCCCAAAGGCCGACAAGGAAAGGCGCCTATGTGCCCAGAAATCAGACTCCAAGATTGGCTCGCCATGTAAGGACCCCACCAAGGCAACCTGAACTCAGACCTGAGGCCCTGCACCCTATGCTCTTGAGCTTCCCTGACCTTACCAAGATACCCTTTTTTTGTAAGACATTTGCTCCTTGCCAGATGTGTCCCAGCTGAAGAGCCGGCCGCCCGGGCCAGTGGCGGCTGCTGCCTTGAAGCAGGCCTCTAACTGAGCTCAGAGGGTTTTCTGTGAGCTGAGCATACAGGGGTTCGAAGATGGTTCTTCAATGAAGCTTTTATGCATGAGGTTCTAGGTTTCGTGTGTTAAGTCTTTGATTCTTGCACATTCAAACTGAGCCCCAACAGCGTCGCAGACATGAGACCGAATGAGACTGAAGACATCTCCAGCTGCACCGAGGGGTCATCTTCGGGATAAGGGAGCTTGCTCACCACACAGCCCTGGGCACAGGTCAAACCGGCTTAGCAGCGGATGCCAAGTCGAACATGGGGATGGAACTTGCCCCTTACAGGAAGAAATCATATGTCGAATGCAACTCAAGACGGTGAAGAGGCTATACTTGGCAGTCATAGCTGCTGTTTGAGCCAGGTCACTACGCCCGGGAAGGTGTCACAAGGAGTGCACCGCCTGGCAAGGAAGCCGCCGCGAGGGGCCGAGAATTCCCTTGCCTCGACCTCGACATTTGCAAGTACCGGCAGCATACGATGCAAATATCATCCCAACGCTAGCTAGAAATCAGCCTGTCAGTGTAATAACTGACAGGCAACAGTGGGGAAGCCAAGTCTTCGCTTGAAGCGTTCTTTCGCCTGTTGCTTCCTTCCATTTCATGTTGTTTCTGCCTTCGATTGCGATTGCTGTTGCCGACTGTTCATGGTTGTATTGCAAGCCGTGAATGCTTCAAAGCTTTGTGCCGGATGTCAGGGCAGCATCTCGACCTCTCTGCGACGACTTTGACCAACAAACCTACGCCCGCAGCCTGTCGAAAGCTGTTCAAGCCGCTTCCGGATCGAAAAGGAGCCATGAGCGGAGCGCAACTTGGGTACCGATTTACTTTCATTGACGTGACGGAGGATGGCAAGACGGACGGTGATGATCACCGTGCACGGGCCCGCAGCCTTCCCCCAATCCGGGCATCCGTGGCAAACTCGGAGACTCTGGTCGTAGATGCATGGGCGCATCTTCATCTTCGCACTCTCCGACAAGGGCGGGATGCAACAGTCTTCGAGCCGCCCGCGCCAAACCGTGGCAGTGTGGGACACCCAACACTGTGCAGTCGCCCATGCATCTACGTCGCAAAGCAGGGGCAGTGCCAGAAAGGTGTGGCCTGTGGGTTTTGTCATCATGATCATCACAGTGGCCCGAATGACCCCAAACCCGACAAGCAGCAGCGCCGCTTGATGAGCACGATGCCTAGGGCAGAGCTGCTGGGCCTTCTCGCAGAGCTACTTCAGGATCGTGCGGAGCAAGATGGATTCCATGATGTGGGTTTCGTGGTCGCGGCTCCTTGGTCGATTAGATGGCGCTTACCATGGTTGGATATGGTAGGTGGGTTGCTCGATGGTGCACAACTTGCCTGCGGCGCAACCGAGGCTGTGGCTGTCCAGGCAGGACTCCGTCCAAGCCGCCCGCAGACGAAGTCTCGAAAGCTTGCCAACTTGCGCCAGGTGCCACAAACACTGGGCAGAGTGCGAGTAGTTCTGCTAGGCTTGCTTAATGTTTCCGGTGGCTTCAGGGTGTTCCAGCATATCTTCATGCCTGGACGGAAGAACAGGGGACTGGGGAGGCCTTTTCAAAGCTGGCTTCAAGCGCCAGGTGATCGGGCGCATGAACTTCTCCGCCATCCTCTCGATAGCTCTGCGTCACTGTGAGGGCCACAGCAAGGCTTCGATCCTGCAGGAGCTGAAGGCTCTGCGAAACAATGTGACTTTTTAAGCCGCCCCGGCCGTATGTCAGCGACTCACCCCAAGCAGTGGCTTTGGAATGTTGGGAGAAGTCCAGAGTGAGTAGAACAGCATCTCAGTATCTAGTCAATTCTGCTTGGAGAGGAGTCCACAGGCCGTCACTCACCTGTAGCATGTTTCCGCATCTTTCTGCCCCTGTCTCGTGCGGTTTCTCAGAAGGCAGTCTCTGCCGTCATCGAGCATGAACAGATGGACTGAGCAGCACCATGATCACAGGGACGGGGGCTCTTGCCACGGTAGTCCTCGTACGTTCGGTCGGTCACGATGTGCTCTAGTCGGGCTATCAATGAAATCTTCCGATCCGTGTGTCTAACAGCCTAACAAGTCCGTTGTGAGCCACATGTCGCCGGCCTAGCTGGCACGTGAGTGCAGAGCACCACTCGTCCATTGCCAGTTCGCCTTACGAACGGTCAGCTGGCTTCCACCTTCCATCTCTTTCCGGCAGAGGCATCTTACCTCCAATCAGCAAGGGTGCTTCGACGGCACTCTGGTAGGCATTGAAAGCGTATGTTGTTTTTCTTTTGTGCTTGTGTCCTGCGTTTCTCGCTTGAATGTTGCCTTCGCCTGGCTGTGTTTCACTATATCCTGACACCTTCAGTGGGTATAGTCGGGTGAGTTTTTTTCTACCTTTTACAGTCAAGCACTACGGAAGACTGCGCCGTTGGCAGGCTGCCGTCAGGAAACACGATGGTTCAATCCCATTCTTGACGGACTGCCTGCGACCCCTCAGACAGCTGAGCCGAATTTTCAAGAGCTGGCGGGGCCTGCACACGACTGAAACTAGGGATTGCCGTCTCGTGCAGGGCCTGATCGAAGGCTAGGAGCTTTCGAGACACCTGCTTACAAAGGTTCCCGACGACAACTGTCGCCACGCGATGGTGAAAAGAAAGAGAGGGCGTGCTGCGGGTGGTACTGCTCTTGCCGACTTCTATTCCAACTCCATGAAGGCTTCCAAGCCCTTTGCCGGAATCGAGGACAGGCATGACCTCTCGGAGTTTCTGCGACAAATTTGACCAACAAACCTACGCCCGCAGCCTGTCGAAAGCTGTTCAAGCCGCTTCCGGATCAAAAAGGAGCCATGAGCGGAGCGCAACTTGGGTACCGATTTACTTTCATTGACGTGACGGAGGATAGCAAGACGGACGGTGACGATCACCGTGCACGGGCCCGGAGCCTTCCCCCAATCCGGGCATCCGTGGCAAACTCGGAGACTCTGGTCGTAGATGCATGGGCGCATCTTCATCTTCGCACTCTCCGACAAGGGCGGGATGCAACAGTCTTCGAGCCGCCCGCGCCAAACCGTGGCAGTGTGGGACACCCAGCACTGTGCAGCCGCCCATGCATCTACGTCGCAAAGCAGCGGCAGTGCCAGAAAGGTGTGGCCTGTGGGTTTTGTCATCATGATCACCACAGTGGCCCGAATGACCCCAAACCCGACAAGCAGCAGCGCCGCTTGATGAGCACGATGCCTAGGGCAGAGCTACTGGGCCTTCTCGCAGAGCTACTTCAGGATCGTGCGGAGCAAGATGGATTCCATGATGTGGGTTTCGTGGTGGCGGCTCCTTGGTCGATTAGATGGCGCTTACGATGGTAGGAGATGGTAGGTGGGTTGCTCGATGGTGCACAACTTGCCTGCGGCGCAACCGAGGCTGTGGCTGTCCAGGCAGGACTCCGTCCAAGCCGCCCGCAGACGAAGTCTCGAAAGCTTGCCAACTTGCGCCAGGTGCCACAAACACTGGGCAGAGTGCGAGTAGTTCTGCTAGGCTTGCTTAGTGTTTCCGGTGGCTTCAGGGTGTTCCAGCATATCTTCATGCGGGGACGGAAGAACAGGGGACTGGGGAGGCCTTTTCAAAGCTGGCTTCAAGCGCCAGGTGATCGGGCGCATGAACTTCTCCGCCATCCTCTCGATAGCTCTGCGTCACTGTGAGGGCCACAGCAAGGCTTCGATCCTGCAGGAGCTGAAGGCTCTGCGAGACAATGTGACTTTTTAAGCCGCCCCGGCCGTATGTCAGCGACTCACCCCAAGCAGTGGCTTTGGAATGTTGGGAGAAGTCCAGAGTGAGTAGAACAGCATCTCAGTATCTAGTCAATTCTGCTTGGAGAGGAGTCCACAGGCCGTCACTCACCTGTAGCATGTTTCCGCATCTTTCTGCCCCTGTCTCGTGCGGTTTCTCAGAAGGCAGTCTCTGCCGTCATCGAGCATGAACAGATGGACTGAGCAGCACGATGATCACAGGGACGGGGGCTCTTGCCACGGTAGTCCTCGTACGTTCGGTCGGTCACGATGTGCTCTAGTCGGGCTATCAATGAAATCTTCCGATCCGTGTGTCTAACAGCCTAACAAGTCCGTTGTGAGCCACATGTCGCCGGCCTAGCTGGCACGTGAGTGCAGAGCACCACTCGTCCATTGCCAGTTCGCCTTACGAACGGTCAGCTGGCTTCCACCTTCCATCTCTTTCCGGCAGAGGCATCTTACCTCCAATCAGCAAGGGTGCTTCGACGGCACTCTGGTAGGCATTGAAAGCGTATGTTGTTTTTCTTTTGTGCTTGTGTCCTGCGTTTCTCGCTTGAATGTTGCCTTCGCCTGGCTGTGTTTCACTATATCCTGACACCTTCAGTGGGTATAGTCGGGTGAGTTTTTTTCTACCTTTTACAGTCAAGCACTACGGAAGACTGCGCCGTTGGCAGGCTGCCGTCAGGAAACACGATGGTTCAATCCCATTCTTGACGGACTGCCTGCGACCCCTCAGACAGCCGAGCCGAATTTTCAAGAGCTCGCGGGGCCTGCACACGACTGAAACTAGGGATTGCCGTCTCGTGCAGGGCCTGATCGAAGGCTAGGAGCTTTCGAGACACCTGCTTACAAAGGTTCCCGACGACAACTGTCGCCACGCGATGGTGAAAAGAAAGAGAGGGCGTGCTGCGGGTGGTACTGCTCTTGCCGACTTCTATTCCAACTCCATGAAGGCTTCCAAGCCCTTTGCCGGAATCGAGGACAGGCATGACCTCTCGGAGTTTCTGCGACAAATTTGACCAACAAACCTACGCCCGCAGCCTGTCGAAAGCTGTTCAAGCCGCTTCCGGATCAAAAAGGAGCCATGAGCGGAGCGCAACTTGGGTACCGATTTACTTTCATTGACGTGACGGAGGATAGCAAGACGGACGGTGACGATCACCGTGCACGGGCCCGGAGCCTTCCCCCAATCCGGGCATCCGTGGCAAACTCGGAGACTCTGGTCGTAGATGCATGGGCGCATCTTCATCTTCGCACTCTCCGACAAGGGCGGGATGCAACAGTCGTCGAGCCGCCCGCGCCAAACCGTGGCAGTGTGGGACACCCAACACTGTGCAGTCGCCCATGCATCTACGTCGCAAAGCAGGGGCAGTGCCAGAAAGGTGTGGCCTGTGGGTTTTGTCATCATGATCATCACAGTGGCCCGAATGACCCCAAACCCGACAAGCAGCAGCGCCGCTTGATGAGCACGATGCCTAGGGCAGAGCTGCTGGGCCTTCTCGCAGAGCTACTTCAGGATCGTGCGGAGCAAGATGGATTCCATGATGTGGGTTTCGTGGTCGCGGCTCCTTGGTCGATTAGATGGCGCTTACCATGGTTGGATATGGTAGGTGGGTTGCTCGATGGTGCACAACTTGCCTGCGGCGCAACCGAGGCTGTGGCTGTCCAGGCAGGACTCCGTCCAAGCCGCCCGCAGACGAAGTCTCGAAAGCTTGCCAACTTGCGCCAGGTGCCACAAACACTGGGCAGAGTGCGAGTAGTTCTGCTAGGCTTGCTTAATGTTTCCGGTGGCTTCAGGGTGTTCCAGCATATCTTCATGCCTGGACGGAAGAACAGGGGACTGGGGAGGCCTTTTCAAAGCTGGCTTCAAGCGCCAGGTGATCGGGCGCATGAACTTCTCCGCCATCCTCTCGATAGCTCTGCGTCACTGTGAGGGCCACAGCAAGGCTTCGATCCTGCAGGAGCTGAAGGCTCAGCGAAACAATGTGACTTTTTAAGCCCCCCCGGCCGTATGTCAGCGACTCACCCCAAGCAGTGGCTTTGGAATGTTGGGAGAAGTCCAGAGTGAGTAGAACAGCAGCTCATCTAGACAATTCTGCTTGGAGAGGAGTCCATTGTAGCACCTGGCTGCAGGTTTTTGCCACGGTAGTCCTGGTACGCTTGGTCGGGCACGATATGCTCTAGTCGGGCCATTCATGAACAGGCAGCCAGTGTCCTTGCGATCTGCATTTTCTTAGAGAGCCCGTTGTGAGCCACATGTTGCCGGCCGAGCTGACGCGTGAGTGCACAGCACCAGTCGTCGATTGCCAGTTCGCTTCAAGCACCGCCTTTCTCATTTTCCAACGCAGGCACGTTTGCAGCCCTGAGTTTGTCAAGGCTTCATACATCGGCTCGGGTGCTTCGGTAGAGTTCTGATGGCCATTGAAATCGTTTGCAGTTGTTTTGCTTCTGCGCACGCGCCCTTTGTTTCTTGCTTGGCGCATGTCGCCTTCGCCCTGCTGCGTTTCACCAAATTTCACTCAGCCGGCTGACTTGATCTGTTCTTAGCGATGCCGCACGTCCGACCTTGGAGCCCTCTTGCTCTGAAGACGGTGCTTGTGGGAGCAAGCGACAGCTTCTGTCAGTCCCCTTTCTACACAGTCACATAGCCACGGACGAACGGAAGATTCCACTGGTGGCGGAGCCTTCTACGATGCCTGCTTAGATCTCGCTATGCAGCTAGCTTGGAGCATTTCATTCTCAAAGCTGACCAAGTGCCACACAGTGGTTCTTTCTTCCAGACCCTTCAGACAGCCGAACTGAATTTTCAACAGCTCGAAAGGGCCGGGTCACCATCTCGTGCAGGGCTGTGAGACTGCTTGAAGGCTAGGAGCTTTCGAGACAGCCTCGGACACCTGCTTACGAAGGTTCTCGACGACAGGTGTCTTTGTGCGATGATGCAAGAAAGAGAGGGTGCCCCGCAACTGTAACTGCTCTTGCCGACGTTTAGTGCAAGAAGGCCTTCAAGAGTGTAACTTTTGCTAGATCACCCAAAAAGCTGATAAAGCTGTCGCTCCAGCATGGCGGACTTTGCGAAAGAATTCCTGAATCTTCAATTCAGCCCCTCACTCCCCTTCGACTCCTCGCTATCCCTCGCCCGACCTATCAAGCAAAATCGCCAAGACCACTCGTGCCGCGCAAGAGAGCGCGGGGCTTGCGGCGAGAGCAGGCTGGTAAGGCAAGGCTGTCTTGGATGCTATCGGCGACCCAAGAAATTTCTGACGGACCAGGGTGTTCCTTGTATTTAGGTGTTATCGGTTGACTGAACATTTTCGAGTGAGGGTAGAAATCCAGTGCACGTTTGCACGGCGCACCCGAAGTACAAAACCAAAACCGGCAGGCCACAGAGCACGGTATTTTTTGCCGTCACGCTCGAGGCCTTTGGGCGTGGGGCTTCAGCTTGGTGTTTGGTTCTTCTGCTCGGAAGTACATGCAGGCGGTTCTGGTCGTCCAAGCCCTCCCAGGGTGTCGAAACATGCTGAGGGGCTCTGGCACCGGGGGCACATCAAGTCCACCGTCCAAACAGACGATTTGTTTGGGTAGTTAGTTTCTGCTGAGTATTCACAGCTTGACCACTTCGCGGAATGTCACCAACTTGTGTCTGTGACGTTCTAGGATCAGTGGTCAATGGAGCAGACCCTGAATCTCCACACGCACCCTTGTTGCCAAGCCCCCTCCAGGTGGTACGAAGTACCGCGCCTGCATCAGCTTTAGCAATCTGCGACTGCAGGCGCTTCGCAGGGAAGCTGTGTCAGCGTCGGACATTCCGAAAGTTCATACTGACAAGCCCAAGCACCGGTGCCTACAGGTGTGTCGCAGGTCTCATGCTCGCCCGTCTCTAGGAGCCGTCCCTTTCTTGCCTGTTTGACGAGGCTCGGCCAAGATCCTCCCTTTCGGAAGCTCAGCGTGATCTGACATGCTTGGCTGGGGCCCTGGTAGTGTGGAATGTGAATGCAGGGATCCCGCTGCATTATCGATTCAAGCAGTACGGTTTGGGATTCGGATTATCGAGCAGAGGTTAGGAGCTTCGGAAAGGCGAGGCATATTGAAGCAACTGGATGAAGTGCATGCGGTACCAGGTGTACCGATGAGACTCACCAAAAAGACTGAATCATGTTTTTTCGCAGCAGTACGCGTGGGCTGCGTGTCGTGTTTCCAGCAATGCTTCCATGGCAGATATGTGTCTTCGGAAGTTCACAAGCAGGTGGCGACACTAGAGGTGCTTGTGCGCGCGGCCTTGCTTGCGGACATCTTGGGATCCTCATTGGGCTGTTGTTGGAAACAGTGTGTCGCTTTTCAGCCTATCTCTGGTCGGGACATGGGGACATGCATATAAAATCATATAAAAGAAAAGGTAGTCCACAAGCCCGTCCTCAAGCAGGTGTACCTTCGTGTTTAGCAAATTTCGAGTCGTTTCATCATGGCCTGTCGAGGCTTCCATACGGCAGCGAGTGACTGCAGGCAGCGGGCTGTTTGAGCATCGTGCTCCTTGGCACTGTATGGAAGCAGCCGCTGCAAGCCAAACCGAGACCCGCCACGACTTACGAAGATCACACACAGCTGGCAGAGCTCATGCCACCCAGACTCCCATGCTTTGAGGTCCGAACGGCAATGGCGGAAATCGAGGCCTGCGGGCTTTGCGGGCTTTGCATTGCTTGCATTGCTTGCCATCTCAGAGTTGTCGCGGATTCCAGCCTCGCCTCGGCCTCAGGCAATTCCGCGCAGAGGGATCTCGTTCCAGGCCGGCGATTCTTCAGCTCTAATACTATACTATACTATACTATAATAATACTATACTACTATACTGTAATAATACTAAACTATAGCAATACTATAAGTATCTGTTTAATCGAGGACGGCAACCGCCTCTCCCAGAAGTGTGCGGTTTCAACGCTTCGCAGAAGTTCGCCAGGTGGCTTGCGCGATTTTCCGGCACGTCCTCCTGAGCCCGGTCCTTCTCTCCGAGCTTAACCCGGGAGTTGCAAGGTTTGATACTTATAGTATTACTATAGTTTAGTATTATTATAGTATAGTAATATAGTATTATTATAGTATAGTAGTATAGTATATTATTATAGTATAGTATATTATTAGAGAGTTCTCAGAATCCGAAATCTGACACCTTGTCAGCGGAGCATCAGCAGCACCAGTGCAGGCGAACAGCGGTGTTCATGCCAAGCTGCTCACGTCGCACAGATTTCTTGGGGGGGGGGGGGCATGTGCAACTTCGCCGGACGCACAATCTACTTTCATCAGGCGACTGCATACGCACAGAGGAGCGCCATTCGTCTTGTATCTCTGTGTGCGTGGCGTGCGTGCAGCAGTCTAATGCCAGCTCGAAGAAATGTTCGTGCTGCTGAGAAGACTCAGGAACACGGGCGGCCGTGGAACTTACTGAGCTGAGATTCTTCAACAGTGCATAGGAGATGAACTGGACAATGCAAGCTTAATGTAAGGGATGCTTGCGAGCCAATTAGCGCGTGCTGCATGGCTTTTGACCAGCTTGGGCTTAGTTTTGCGGACTCTGGGACCTGAGAACCTTTCGTCGCGACAGGTCTTTGAGGCCGGTGACTTTGACTCGGCTTTGGGTGCGTGGCGGCGTGTGCGCGCGGCACAGCAGCGACGGCCTCGAGACGGATGCGGACGCAGAGAGCCGAGTTGTTGCTGTTCCGAAACTCGCCAAGAGCCCTTCAGCTCAGGCGGCCGGAGGAGAGTTGCATGGGCAGGCCAGGCCACACGCATGCTCGTGGTAAGACCGTTGGGAAGCTTTCGCCTCCCGGCTACGGATGGGAAGCTCGCACCTTGATATGTGAGACGTCGACTTTCGCGCACACACACACACACACATCAAGAATTGCTGAAACATGCTGGCATCGAGGTGACAGCAGCCCGCAACAAACATGATGAGTGCAGCAGCCCGACCCAGCATCAGCCGCGTGCATTGCGATCGTACTTCATGGCAACCACCACTTTGTCATTCTTTTGCTCTGGGGTCTGATCCCGCAAATCATGCACAATCTTGCATCCAATTAGATCTTAGCGGTGCCTAGATGGGAGCTTGCAGATGTTGTTCCTGCCATTTCCACCATTGACGCCTGCGACGCTGCTGCAACGTCGCGACCGCTTTCTGGCAGACTCGGCCCCAGTAACAGCAGTGACGCAAGTTGTGAAGGCCACAAAAAGGCATGCAAATCTTTCAAGAGACAGTTCAGAAAGCCCTCCAGCACCCTTTCCAGCTGCACCCCTGCACTCTACTTGAACTTGATGCGAGTCAGCCGGCCAGACGAGCCAGATGCTAGCCTAAGGATGTTCGCCTGGAGTCAGGGGCCAAAGATGTCGCCTACTGCGTCAATCCTGGCCGTGCCATGTCACTGCTTGGCTTGGCTTCGACCGCTTATCGCTTCGGCAGTGCTGCTCTGATGTGCTCAATCTTGGGGGTGATCTGCAGGAGCAACCAATGCAGAGTCTACCAGAGATAGAATGCACAGAAGCAGATCGGACGAGGATCGAAAAGTAATTTTTCCGCACTTCCTTGAGTTGCTGCCACAGGCCCCAAGCATACGGTTCAGCCTTAAGTTCCTTGCTTTGCTGCCGTAGGCTTCTGGCCCCATGTCGAGGTATGGAGGCCTTCAGCCGAAGCGAGGCCTCTGTCTGGCTGGCCGAAGCTGCCGTGGGGCAAGGCATGGAGTTGCTTTTAACTCCTTACTTTTTGAAGCCCTTGTAATAGTTTTACAACGGCGCGTTACGAGGGTCCGGGTTCTATCATCAGGGTCTGAGGGGTTTTGGGTTTAGGTCCGGTCTGCCGGGTGCGGGTTTTTATTGCTTGACCGGTGCATGTTCCAAAGCTCCTTTCCAGGAACGTCGGCGCCGAAGCGTCGGCTACGCTGGACCTGGGAGCTCATTGACCACAACGGGGTTCTTTGCGGGACCAACACGCAGAGGCGCTTGCTTCCCTTGAATCCCGCTGCCTGCGGTGTGAGCGATTGAAGCCTCATCAGCCTCTGCTGGAACGGCCGAAGGGTCTTCAACAACAGAAGCATCGAAGAACATCAAAGAGCAGGAAGTTTATGGTCATTACGCTTGTGGGAAAAAGCGAATATCGACACCGACATCAGCCCCTTGCAGGCCCAACTTGGTGGTGGGAGAGCTGCTTCGGCAGCGGCTACTGCCAGGCGTGATCTTTTCCAGAACAGCATGCAGCGAGATACTACCTGTTTGCAGCGAGGGTAGCAGTTTACTTGGGGAGGCAACATAGAAGAAGGGCGACTAGTCATCGGACCGAGCTGTTCCCTATTTCTCGCAGGCACTATACCTACCGGCTTTATCGTAGTTGTCAGTCGTCCGGGGTCTGCTCATGCTTCAAGTTGTCGGTTGCTGTGGAAGACGACGTGTGGGTCGAGGACTCGACGACTGGGTGGAAATGAAGAGCGAGAAGAGCCTCTCGCACATCAATCCGATCCCTTGGCTGCATCTTCTCATCCCGAAGTGCCTTGACAAAGTAGGTCCGGAATAGCATCGGCTCTATCTCTTCGATCCGCAGCGCATGCACTCGTCTATAGAATTCTAGAAAGACCCATATAGCACTTGCATGAAGTCGCCCCAAAGCAGTGTAAATTCGTGAGGTCGGGAATCTAAAATGGTGTGTTTGGTCAGAGAACAGCCATTGGGTGGTGGTGAATCCTGCGGCTGCTAATCTGACCTAGTGCCTCGGTCTAAGAGACTTTCCAACTAACACTTGTGGCGGATGGAAAAGGGGCGACAAAAAAGCGGAGTGTAAAAAGGACGCTGCGGCCTGGTCAGCGTGAGCCCAGCAACTAGCAAGAGCGCCAAGCGCCTGGCAACTCTTGCATCTTACAGCCTGCAGGCAGCTTCCGTGTCAAAGACTGCGACTGAAGCTTACCAAAGCTTGAATCTTTAAGTTCTACCACACATCGTATCCGTATTCCAATGTAAGGACTGACGATGCTGACGGCCATCTTCCCGCATCGGCCGGCGCCGTCTCTGACGACAAGGCTGTTTGCAGAAAGTCCGTGCCGTGGCTATGGCGGGCAAGACATCGGGCGACCATTGACCATGCGCTTTGTGAAACCTTCCGCGTTGCTTCCCACAGGCGCACAACCCCCTTATACCACCTTACTCCAAAAAGTCTCGGTCTCGTGCCGTGAGTGGCTCGTGTATAAGATATTAAATTCTACGGGCCGTATGGCTGTTTCACAGTAATTTCCTCAAACCTGACAGGCAGATACCAAAGAGCGGACGTCGAGGGCTTAACGGAAGCATCGAGAGACGGGGAGATCTGCAAGTAGATTGGACATCAAATAGTGCCCGAGGGAGCACGAATTGCCCAAGCTGGCACCAAGCAGAGCGGTCAACTCTGAACGATTGTTGATTCATGCCCCATGTATGCATCAAGGCCTCGACGACAGAAGAAGCGCAAGAGGCACGCGCCGAACGTTGAGATGCTATGCCATTGGTTCATGTACGTTTGATGCACTCAAAGATAGGCTTCCAGCCTATTTGTGCATGCTCAGAGGCCAGTGGAGTCGCGGCTTGATTTCTGGCTGCGTACACCTGAAGGTGGCGTCTTAACGGAGATTGGTTTCATGGCCCCACGTTTTTTATTGGTACCGTGAGTTGGTTTGGACAGAGTGACAAACCTCCTGATGCTCAGGAGATCACTACATAGCCGCTGGGCTGCATTTAGGCCTTGCGAGGCGGAGGACACACGTCTACAGCAACGGACCCGCATCTTTCCCTGCACGATGTCCGATTTTGAGCCGAAACCTGTGAGCAGCTGTGCGCGCTTGCCACAAGTCCTTCATCGCGATGAGCGCACGCATCTTTGAAGATCCGGCCTGTATATGAGCTTTCTGTATTTTAGAGAAGTGCTGCAAAGTGAAAGCCCCATTTCAGGTTTCGGGGCGGAGGGAAGAAGAAGAAGCGACTGCAGACTCCTTCGAAGGACGATCCGCCGAAGAAGGTCGTTAAGGAAGATCCCAACAAGAAGCTCAAGCGGGACAATCGGATCCCAGAGAAGGAGTGGAAGCTCATCGCCGATGCGGCCAAGAAGGTGCAGGGCGCTCGCCGGTGCCACTACTTCAACTCCTCGCTCGGGTGCGTGTCTGGCGACAACTGTCGTTTCAAGCACCTGTGCATGGTCTGTGGGGAGCCGCATGCCATGATCAGCAACCACTGATCGGTTCCCAGCGAATCTGATAGTGCTCCTCACCTTACCTTGTCCGGCGCGCGTGGGGGGCTGTGATCTGGAATCCCGCGCACAAGATCTCCTGAAAAAGCGAGCTCCGCTTCTGCGTGAGGAGATCCTCGACTTGGCTACAGAGCTCCCTGTTCAGGGTCAGCATAAGGCTGCCGACGAACGAGGCGGGGCTTTCTTCGCGGGAGCCTATCGCCACGGGGGCATTACAAGACTGCGATCGTCCTGTCACTCATGGCCGTGGTCGATCAAGGCGATCACCACGTACATCGCTCAACAGGCTCCTGAGGCGCTCTTCACGTCGTTCGCCGTCCTCTACGATCAGGAAGCCGAACCTCACCGTGACTCGGGCAATGACCCGATCCCGAACATTGTCTTCAAGCTCGGGTCGTTTGAAGGAGGCGGGCTCTGGATCGAAGACCCGCTCGGGCCCGATGTGAGAGAAATCGAGGGACGCTCCATCCCCGGTTTCCTCACCGACTTCGTCGACAATAAGATCCTCTTCAACGCTAAGGAAGCTCTGCACGCGACTCTGCCCTGGATCGGAACTCAGGTGGTCCTCGCCGTGTACTCAGTGCAGGGGGTCGATCGGATCCCTGCCGACGAGTTCGAACAACTCCTTCAGTTGGGCTTCAAGCCGGCGCCGGTGAACACAGGTGATCACGTGGATCAGTCCTGGCAAACTCTCACTTTTGCGCTCGAGACCCCGGACTCCGATCGGAAGCGGCCCCATGGCGCCCCGGTCAAAGCCGTGGAACATCGTCAACGATCGGCCGGCAAGAAGGCCGTCGCCGCGGGTTACCAGATGAAGAAGTCTGTCGTGGATCCGCTGATCGGCACGGAGATGCACCCGGGTGAAGCGATCGCTTTCGCCTTGGAAGCTACGCACCCGTTCACAAAGGACGCGGATATCGACCCAGACCTCCTTGATGTTCTGGAGCAAATTGTTCGTGATCCTGCTCAGGTGCGCGATCGTCGAGCCTCTCTTCTGCAGCATTGGGAACGGCGAGCTCAGGATCTGCTCCCGTCCTCTGACTCCTTGCTCAAGCAGATACCAGATCGGCGTTTGCGCCGTCTTCTTCACGGCGGCCCAGACGATCGTCCACTGGAAATGGGTCAGTTCTTCCACGTCGCCCTTTGGCGGGAGCTCATGAATGAGGCCAAATGCAGTGACACTGACCTGGTAGATCAGATCATGGCGGGCATGCCGATCGTCGGCGATATTGCCTCCTCCCACCGATGGAAGCCCGATCGCAAACCTCATGCGGAGCATCTCTCGGGTGATGCCCTTCGCTCGAGGGCCTGGGAATTTCGATCGAAGGTGTTAGGCGCGATTCGGAAATCTCCGATCACCGAGCACTCTCCCAAGGTCTGGGAAGGGACCATGGAAGATGTTCGAGAAGGGTCGGCGATCGGTCCCTGCTTCGACGAGGCCGAAGTCTCGGAGTTCGTCGGCGATGATCGTTGGATCCCTACTCAGCGCTTTGAAGTGGTTCAAAAGAACAAAGTCAGGGGAGTTGACAGTGCTACCTCAAATGGGATCAACATGGCGACGATCGTCACCGAGAAACTCGAACTCCCCTCGACGGACGCGAACGTGGCGGTGATCAAGTGGCTGCGCTCGAGGCTGCCGAAGTCCCCGCTACGTGGTTGGGTCCTGGACGAGCGGCGAGCCTATCGGCAGGTGCCGATCTCTCCGGCCCATCGCAAGTGGAGTGTGGTCGCTCTGAAGGATCCGGCCACGGGAAAGGTGGCGTTCTTCGTGATGGTCGGCCACTCCTTCGGCTTGGTCTCGGCCGTCTATAACTACAACCGCCGCTCGGCTGCGATTACCGACATTCTAAGGCGCGTGTTCATCGTGGCCGGCTTCAACTTCTATGACGACAAGTACGGCGTCGAGCCGGAGGCCACGGCAGATAGTGCGTTCGCGCTGGCCGAGAAAGTCCATTGGTGGCTCGGGGCCCGGTTCGATCAGCAGAAGCTCCAGCTCTGCTCGGATCCCACGATCCTGGGCGTGACCTATGACCTCGATCAGTACTTGCTCAAGATCAAGAAGTCCAGGAAGCAGGAGCTCTTCGACGAGATCTCGTCGATCCTGGAACACGAGGAGATGTCTCCCGGCCAAGCCGGGAAGCTCAGAGGAAAGCTGATGTTCGGCGCTTCGCAGCTCTGGGGGAAGATCGGCCGAGCCTTCCTGAGATCTCTGTCGGAGAGGCAATACTCCCGGAAGACGGTCAGTACGAGCCTATCGCCTGCTCTCCTCTACTCCCTCTACAAGTGGCGGACGCTCGTGATGCATGGGCCTCCGAGTCGGACTCCGAGGCCTATCCCCAGTTCGGGGCCGCGGAAGTCCGACGTGGTGATTTTCACGGATGGATCGGCGCCGAGCTCGAACCCCAAGGATCCCTCTTCTGAGATGATTGGAGGAGGGATGTTCACTAGGGACGATCAGCCTAGGCAATTCGCCTCGGGGGTGTCACGGCAGATCATGTCGAGGTGGTTCCCCCGGAAAACCCAAATTTGCATGATCGAACTTTTGGCCGCGGTCGCTGCGATACAGACTTTCAGGGAAGAGATCCGTGGAAAGCTGGTCCTCCTCTTTATCGATTCCGAGCCCGTAGAGGCAGCTTTGATCAAAGGCTACTCTGCAAAAGAGGACGTCTGCGAGCTCGTAGGAATTTTCTGGGAGCTTGTTCTGGAGCTTAGGTGCTCTGTTTATATCGATCGGGTACCGACCGATTCGAACCCGGCGGATAATCCCTCTCGTGGTGATGTCGCTACAGGTCTGATGTGTGGTTGGATCACGGTCCTCTCGGACTTTCCGAAAGGAGTTGGAGGGCCTGGGAATATCGCTTGTCTGATGTGTCCGATCGGATGATGTTGCGGTCTGTGGCGAATGCCATGGCGCACCCCTCGGCGATCGGGGGTCCGATCGGACTTGTGAAGATCAAGTGAAATTTTGATGAGCCGACTGTGGCCGACTCCCACGTTGCGGTCGCATGAAAAAGGTGCGATCGCCGATCGTCTGTTCAGTGAGGGCA